AGAAAACTCATGTTTAATATTATAGGTTTTTGATTAAATTTATATTATAATTTAACCCTAAAAACTAACAATAAAAAATGAGACAGTTGTTTAGAATCATTTTTAAATATATATATTTATTTTCGTTAACCTAAATACCAAACATAGATTACTTAACTAATCAAACAATTATTTTCTTTGTTTTTGAAATTAATGTGCTAAAATTAATTTTTAATGAAGTAAAAAGGAACCTCTTATGTGCTTAATCAATTAATTGCTTTAATGTGTGTGTGTGTGTGTATCTGTGATTAAAATACGTTCTTTTAGAGTTACTTTTAGAGTGAATCTCACTCTTAAAGATTAAAAATTGAGCCACTCATTTTTCAAAACTAGCTCAATTATTTTCACATTTTCAAGTAAGATTCCAAAGAATTTAGAAAAAATGTTATTTCTGAAGTTCTTTGAATTCTTGTTACAGCTAACGTTACCCATCCTTAAACATATCGTAAAGTTATAACAAGAGTTAATAACAAGAAGGTGTGTACGCGTACAATAGGTGTCAGCCGGAACGACGCGAGCAATTACAAGAATGTTTGTCTTGGGTGCGGTTCTTCTTTCATTAAAAGGACCAGAAACCCTTGAAGAGCGAAGAATTAAATTAATGTTCATTGACCTGAGAATTAGATCGATGTTCAGTTCAATTGTCGCTATAAGTTACAATATTCGTTATAGAGAACAAAAAATTCACAATTCAAAATGTGAACACCTTTTATATTGACACGATTTCATAACATATTTACATGACATATTTGTTATGGAATCAGAGATATTGACATTGCAGAGTCAGTATTTAGGGATCTTTTGAGATGACAAAACGGCACTCGCGCGCAATTATGTTGATATATAATTCCTAATATTAACGGCTCATTGCCATAACTATAATTAATTAACTGTAATTACTGCAAATCAACTGTATTTTAAGTACATAGATATAATTTATAAAGTAAATTGCTGAAAAGAATAATAATTTAATAAATATTTATTTTTTGTTAAATACATAAAAGTATATCTATATACAACGTATTTAAAGAATAAAAGTAAAATACAACTAACGGATTCCACATGATTTATATGAAGAAAACGCTTTCAGTTAATTTGCTTCAACTTGTGATATATGTTCTTGCATCTTTCATTAAAAATCTCAGTGGGCGAAACGTCATTATTTCTAGTTTCTGAGTTAGAGACATTTGAAAGTATCTTTTATTGAAATTTTCGTTTGTTCATTTGTTTACATGAGTTTGCACTTGTGTATGTGTGTGTGTATGCGCGTGCATACTGAAAATGTTATAAAAGTAGCAACTATAACAGTAAAAATATATGATTATATAATTCTACAGTTTCATCTATCGCTGGATCATCGCGCGGGCGTGCGCGCACACACACACGCAGTATATGATATTTATTTCATATATATATATATATGTATATATATACATATATATGCGACATTTCATATGGCAATAAAAAGACTAATGCCCGTTTTCACCAATGTAGATTAACTTTAATCTCAGTCCAACTTACTCTTCGTCTTTTTCTAGTTCTAAAGATTAGAAAAAGACGAAGAGTAAATTGAACCGAGATTTAACCCTTACCGTACTAATATGGGTAACCAGTGATCGAGCGATTCCTGTTCGTGCAAGTTTCTTTGAATCTTTATAAATTATAAATTATACTACATTTTATTATTTTCCAAAATAAAGAGTCAATATTTATTCTAGAAAGTTGAAAGTATGTTGGTGAATTTTTAGAGATTTTTTGAATTATTTTGAAGAGGTGAAAAAGCGAAGAGATTTGAAGTGACCCTTGATGATATGGATGAGGCACCAAATTGTAGATGGTACGATAAGGGTTAAAGTTAATCTACGTTGGTGGAAATATGGGCATATATATGATATTCGTATATGATTCTTTTAACAAAAGTTGCTAAAATTATTCTCTCTTTCAGTCTTTCCATTACTGTATGAAAGTTAATATAAAGATTCCTAAATTATAATCGCCTCGGCCATATAAGATCATGACGTCGTAAGCGAGAAATGACGTTAATGTTTTTTGCATATCATTTGTAATTAAAAAGAATTTGAGTAAAACAAAATAATTATCGCTTTAAAACTCTTGTAAAAATGGGCCGAAACTATCCTTATCCCTCTTGACAGTCAGTAAATAATCGTAAAAAGCACGTGAAATACGTTTACCAGCGTTTACTCAATACGCATGTGTAATTTATTTTCACTTCACGTGCTTTTTACGACTATTTACTGACTGCGGAGGGGAGGG